TTAATTTATCCAACGCACTCTCTAACATTCTTCGAATGATAAATATTCTCTGCTAGCATTTCTTGGATACTTCTCATTGTACACATTCTATGATGTTTACTACGGTATGTCAATTCTAGACATTCTTCACAATCTGCCTTACTTATTTTAGTTATATCCCTCCCTCCCATTCCCAGTTGATTTGATTTGCTTGGGATTCCAAGTATAACACCAAATGTTTAGAATGTAGAGGGACATTTGTCTTTTATAAAAAAGTAAGTAAAAATGATCAACTTACTCTCCTCCAAAAAGCAGGTATGATGCAAAAAATCTGAAATTGCATATCCTTGTGTGAGTGTCAATTTGAGAGTTAAACTAGCCTAATCTTACATTCAGTTGTACTTTTATCTTTCTCCCCTGCTTTATAACCCTATCTCCAGAAAACTCCTATACATAGAAACATAGAAACATAGAATGTGATGGCAGATAAGAACCATTCGGCCCATCTAGTCTGCCCAATTTTCTAAATACTTTCATTAGTCCCTTGTCTTATCTCATAGTTAGGATAGCCTTATGCCTATCCCATGCATGCTTAAACTCCTTTACTGTGTTAACCTCTACCACTTCAGCTGGAAGGCTATTCCATGCATCCACTACCCTCTCAGTAAAGTAATACTTCCTGATATTATTTTTAAACCTTTGTCCTCTAATTTAAGACTATGTCCTCTTGTTGTGGTAGTTTTTCTTCTTTTAAATATAGTCTCCTCCTTTACTGTGTTGATTCCCTTTATATATTTAAATGTTTCTATCATATCCCCCCTGTCTCGTCTTTCCTCCAAACTATACATGTTACGATCCTTTAACCTTTCCTGGTAATTTTTATCACGCAATCCATGAACCAGTTTAATAGCCCTTCTCTGAACCCTCTCTAAGGTATCAATATCCTTCTGAAGATACGGTCTCCAGTACTGTGTACAATACTCCAAGTGAGGTCTCACCAGTGTTCTGTACAATGGCATGAGCACGTCCCTCTTTCTACTGCTAATACCTCTCCCTATACAACCAAGCATTCTGCTAGCATTTCCTGCTGCTCTATTACATTGTCTGCCTACCTTTAAGTCATCAGAAATACCACATGTCAAACACGCTCCTTCCAGCTCTCTCCAACTTTCACATCCTCGTTTGTAATACCATCACCCTCTTTACCAACTTCAAATATGGAATGGGTCAATCATATATAGAGCTCCACAAACTTGGAGTAAATAGCCAGAAAATATCAAATCTGCCACCAATCGGCAGTCCTTGAAAACATTAATTTTCAATCAATAAGCAGTTGTTATAATTTCCAATTAAGTTATAGACATATAACATTCTAAAATGTATGTGCTCTCCAGGACTTACTTGAAAATGAGATCAATCTCCATGTATCCTGCGTGGTAAAATAATTTTAAATATATCACATATATCTAATCTACATAGGTAAATGGAGAATACTTTCTAAATTACAAAATAGAGATTTTCTTTTCAAGGTTTTCTTCCCTTCTTTATCTTATTGAAGTATTCAATAGACAGACATCAGATTGCCCGCAGAGGCTATTATATTATATGATGTAGTGATGTACAAATATTTCCCAACATGTGCACTTGGCGTTTTGCCAGTGACAAGTGCACAACCTTCCCAATTTCTTTACTGAAATTTGAAAAAAGGCACTCATTACTAAAAGGCATAAGAAAATATGGTTCAATATTGGAGTAGCAATATTTGACCTGGTAATGGAGACATATTAGACTAGAATATTTGGACCAGGACATAAAGAAGTAGAACTTTTGATTGGAGCATTTTATTCATATTTTCTACGTCTGATTTTCTATGTATAACATGTCTGACAGCGTGAAATTTTTAGATTGTAAGCTCACTTTGACAGGGCCATCTTCACCTACTGTTTTGATAAGATATAAAGATTCAATCTTTGTTATTAGGATTTATGAAACTAGACCACTAGGATTATGAGATGATCAATTAGAACACTGGCGCTGGAAGTCATGGAGCTAGAAGACTATGATATAACATCTGAAAGCTAGAGCTTAAACAATGGGACTAGAAGAACGTTAGGATTGGGGCTTATGGAACTAGGACAATGAACATAGAACATATAAATAATGAATAGTGAGATAATTAGCTAGAACCATGGACTGGAAATTCTGGAGCTTAAAATTATGCCGAACTTAGCTGAAACCATGACATAATTAAATAGAACAGAATGGAGCTAGAAGACTTGGGACTAGAGAACTAGAACCATGAGATGATTTACTATAACACAAACTATGCAAAATTGAAGACTATGACTAGAATACCTGGGACTAGAAGACTGGGACTCTGAGATAATTTACCGGAACACAGAATAAAAGGTATGGAATTTGAAGACTAGAACTAGATATGAACGAAATTTAAGGACTAGTACAGGGTAGGCAACTTCCTGCTCTCCGCATGTTGTGGACTTCATTTCTCCTGAGGCTTTGCCAGCACTTTGGCTGTAAGAGCATTTTACGAGATGCAGTCCACAATATATTGAGTGCCGAAGATTGTCAACCCTGGACTAGAAGTTTTAAATTAATGAGAACAGTCGACAAAAAGTTATGAAACTCCTTGCATTATCCATGCATGAAGGAAGACTGTTCAATATACCCAACTCAAATACTTAAACGTAATGCTTTCTCCAACAGACCGTATTAACACATTTTACACTACACTTCATTCGCAGGAACATATGGCAAGTAGGCCTGTGAGGAAGGAGGAAACTAACCTTTCGACTCTTGTTTTCTTTATTGTAAATATACATTCAGGGGTTTTCTGATGTAAGTTGTTTATTTAGTAACATTTCCTTTTTTCTTTTTTTCTATTTCTCTACAAGAATGTTCTGGTTTTTTTTCTATCTTTGGGTTTTCAAATTTTTCATCTACTTGTGCCTGCCTCTCCTCAATACAGATATACATGTATTTTGCAATATGCGTTGCTTTTCCCCTTCAAGACTGATGTCACTTATGGTATTAGATGCACGGGAAAAGATTGCAAACTGAACCTCATTATGCCACAGAGTTCCATAAATGTACAAATAGCTTTGGGAACGAGCTGTAAAACTTCATGAAATTGAAAATACAGCTGTTAGTCAGGACACATTGGACACATTCTGCTATTAACATCGAGAGGAGACATTAAACTCTATGGCACCAGCCAACACAGAACAGGTTGGGCCTTAAAGAAGGATGAGGTAAAGGCCCCAAGATGTCTCAGTTTTAAGACATGAAAAGTAATGTTGGTCTACGTAATTCCGTGCCAAAATAACGGCAGCAGGTGCTCTTTTTGGTGACAGATTTCCTGGGAACAGTAAAAATGGGCAATAAAACTTTTTCAATTGTTAGTAAGATTTCTGAGTTTTATGTAAGTTGATTGCATATGCCCCAAAATTGCTTGATAATCAGGCAGTTACATTTTTAGTAGACTAAAAAAGGTGCGTTAGTGCAATTTGTTAGCAGATTTAGAATAAGAAAGTCAGAATTAAAAGAATCCCTCCCATCAACTAACGTAACTATATTTATTGAAATAATTTTAACATAATTTAGAGTAATATCGTCTGATCTCATGTAGTTTAGATTACAATAAGGGAAAGTACAAACACAAGAACAACTTTGAATGCATCTAAAGCCATTTGGTCCCTCAGGAGATGACCTATTTAATGCGTAAACGTGTTTCAGAGAAACGCATTGTTCAAATGATATGTGTTTATAAAGCAATCATTTGTGGTGGAAAGGGGACAAACAACCACTTAAAAAGCAACAAAATAGTTATTTAAAGGGATACTGTCACATCCCAGGATTTTTCACATTATGCTTATTTTTCCATAAATTTAACAATTATATATTTGTGAATTGTGAAAAATTAAATTAAATGTAGTAAATCCACAGATCGTTATCCTGTAACTGGGCATCTCCTTATTAGCTCCCTTTAAATTATTGTTATAAACTCTGTCTTATGGAGTGTCACTAACAATGTTCTATACACCAAAACTGCTTCAATAAGCTAAAGTTGTTTTTGGTGACTACAGTCTCTTTAATTTAAGTTTTTATACACTCAAAGTACTAGAAGGATGTAGGAGGAATCCTGATGAGAAAAACTGAATGTATTCTCTAAACACGCTCAATGTTCATAAAACATGTACCTTATTATTCCTCATCGCAACACAAGGAACTGACATGAGTACTTATATCAGTATGTGGTGAGGAAGTAATCTCCATAAATCCCATTGGTGTTCTTCAGCTAAATAGAGCAATTCATGTCCTTAGAATTGGGAATCCTAGGTTTGTACCCTGGTCAGACTACCTCACCAGTAAGTGTTTCCTTGAGCAAGACACATAACACTATATATCCACCTACCTCAAATCTTTATAGTTTGTCAGCTTGTTTCAACAGGGCTTTCTTTACCTCTAAATATTCCCTTACTATAACTTAAAGTGCTGCGGAATATTTTTGCGCTATATACATTCTTAGAATATTACAGTTTTCACTTCCTTTCTTCTCTTTGATTATATAATCAAAATGATCTGAATACTTTTTTTGCCAAACTATGTTTTTTTTGTTCATTTCATTTTACTGTTTATGTGCATCCTCCTGTTTTCTTTGCAAAGCTTCAATTTCAATTTAAAAAACAAAACAAAACAAAAACAAACAATTATACAATACATCCAGACACGTTATATATCTGGAGCCTGTGATTTATCACATTTTTTAATAGTAATGGCATTTAAAAAAAAAACCAAAAAAAAAACCAATGGCAGTATATATTTTAAAAGAAATACACAAAAAAAGTAAAAATAGGAAATTAGGAAGGCAATCACATTTATTAAAAAATATTTTTTTAACTTTTGCCTTAGCTATCTTGGTATAATTTGAAATTAATATTTAATTAAATAGTTACATGATAGTTTGTGTTTCCTTTATCAATCATTATTTGCTGTTAAAAGTCATGCAACCGGGAGCGGAGCTAGCCAGCAAGCTGAGCGGTTGCAAGCACTCTGAGCGACGGGAAACCGACTCTCTATACACCCTCTACGGAGACAGAAAATACCCCACTGAGGTACCACGCACCAGGAGAGATCATGGCGAAACATTCCTGTAAAACTCGGTGTCCAAGCGAGGGTCAAACCTGAGATATCGGCCTCATGCTCTCATAACCGAGTAGGCCTAAGATAGCGGACCTGCTCCCTGACCCACCATGCGGCTCCGACTCGGCCTTGGAAGACAAGGATCAGGACCTGCCAGACCTTCTGTCACAACCCCGCAACGGCAAAGTCACTTATCAGAAGCAGCCTGACCCACAGTGGGCTACAAGAACCGATATCCACACAATGGTAATGGACATTAAAACATTCTTTACCTCTGAAATGGCGACATTAAAAGTTGACATCGGCATGCTAGCAGGGAAGATTAAAGCTGCGGAGGATACCGTCCAAAGTCTTGGACTTAAACAACAATCCGCTGATACTCACCTACAGGAGGTGTCAAACACCTGTGCAGCGCTAAGTGCTAAGGTGGAACACCTGGAAGACTTGGCATGCCAGCGCAACCTGAAAATTCAGGGTATCCCTGATGCCATTGATGATGGAGAACTACCCCACTATTTAAGAAGACTGTTTGCAGCAGCCTTGACTCCCAAGCAAGCTAAAGGGTTGCAGCACAATGGACTATACAGACTACCAGGAGGCCCTAGGAACAAGGATCAGACTCCCAGGGATGTGATTCTAGGCTTCAAGTCACAATCTGACAAGGACACCATCCTCTCACAGGTCAAAGGTTACGCACTATTTATGTTTGAGCAACATGCTTTGAGCTTCTATCATGACCTCAGCAGAGCAACGCTGCAATGGCGTACTACATTTAAGTAGGTGACCAGCCAGGTGAGAGCGGCAAACATCCCATATAAGTGGGGGTCCTCACGATCCCTTATAGTCGAGCATAATGATACACACCACAAGTTGACATCTCCATCCAATGCAGACATCTTTTTACTAGCACTGGGGATAACTACCCGTGCCACATGCGGGACTAGCAGGCCCACTCATCAGTGGAATTTGAACAATGTCACCATCTTCACACCAGCTGGTTCCTCCGCTCCAGGATGAGGTACAAACTGAAGAGGCCCTCCTCAGCAAATACCCCATCACACAGGGGTTTTACAGCAGACTTTCCAATACTATATTAACAGTTAACCCAGTCTTTAAGTTTCAGACACAGTTCCAATTTGTTTTCGTTATATATGTTTTTCCGCATACACTACACCACCATGGTAAAGACCTATACAGGTCAAATGCCCTCTAGAGAACACAGCAGAACCTAAGTTATGTACCGTTCCAAGGAACAGTTTCCAACGCACAGTCTCTCCCCCTCCACCCCCATGAGCTTTGGGGTCATGGAGCTCATTTCATTCCCAATTGGGCTAGAACACGCACCAACACTTGCCAACAGACAGGCAGCCCAGATACACTTCTCGGAGTCAGTGGCGGATCCAGAGCCTAATCTCGGGAGGGGCACTTGTAGATTATTTAAAGAAATAATCCAGGCACAATAACCACTACAGCTCAGTGTAGTAGTTATGGCGCCAGTAGTGCCAGGATCCCATCCATAGAGTAAGTAGTCAAACCATTTAAGAACAGTTTGACAACTTACCTGGGGTCTGCTGGTATATAGGGCATAGGAGCAGTGGTATGTGTTAGGGGTGAAGTGTGTGTGAAAGGTGCAGTGTGTGTGTGTGAGCAGTGAAGTGTGTGTGCGAGTGCGTGAGGGTGGCAGTGTAGGTCAGGGTTGCAGTGTGTGTGTTAGGGGGCAGTGTATGTGTGGGGCAGTGTGTGTGTTAGAGAGCTGCAGTGTGTGTGTGTGAGCGGTGCAGTGTGTATGTGAGGGTGGCAGTGTGTGTGAGAGTTGCAGTGTGTGTGTGTTTGGGGCAGTGTGTGTA